GTCCGAAACTGACACGCAACAGCCTCAGGAGGACTTCCTATTGAACTTCAAGTCATCTGGAAGAAACCAGAAAGTAGCGGTAATGTTTAGAAATCCTAATTCAAAGGAATTTTAATCGTATGAAAAGTGATGATGATGATGATGATGAAGATGATGATGATGATGATGATGATGATGATGATGATGATGATGATGATGAAATGCAGAGACGTAAGTGTTGCTGAACGTTTGATATGTCTAGGCATCGAATTGAAAACATTTATTCCTTTAAAATATAATGAATTTTGTTAAGTACAAGTGAAGATATGTGGTGTACTTATTTCAGCTGCGTATCTAGTATTAAATATATGAAAGTCACTTCCTCTTTCAATCCGATCACACAAATATCGAGGCAGCAAACCGTTAACTACTTTAAAAATGAACACCATAGTCAAATACAAAATTCTTTGCTTCACCGACAACCATTGTAAGGCGTCTAACATCAAAGTTGAGGAAGTGAATCTATTACATCTCAAAATCTAACGCATTATGTTATCCTGCAAGCGCTGTAATCTCTTTATTTGTGTTGCATTGGCCAAAAATAAAATGGAAGGGCAAAAGTCTACATGAGGAGAGATAATTGATTTGTATAGCTGTATTTTACTGGCAATAGTTAAATCGTTTTTCAATCGACATAGAATTCCATACTTTTTGGCAATTTTCTTGATGACATGGTCAATGTGAGAGTTGAACTTTAGTTTGTCAGCAATAATCACGCCAAGAGACGTTCTCATTTACTCTATTCCGCGAAATTACCATAAATTTAGTTTTACTTGTATTCAATTTTGACTGCTTACACTTCGACCATCTACTAAGATACTGCAAATCTTCATTCAAATGTGATACGGCAACTTCTAAATCCTTAGCTGCAATGAATAACACAGTATCATCTGCAAAAAGATTAATGTCGCAAAATCGTAAAACACGTTGCAAGTCATTAATATACATAATAAATAACAGGGGCCCTAATACACTTCCCTGGGGCAATCCAAGGCTATTCCCCACGGGACTGGAAACAGAATCATTAAAAACAGTCCGTCCAAATTTGTGGCACATATCCAGTTTGCAATGATTCATTTATAAGGTCCAGCAAAATGTGACCAATGACATGAAAGCAATCTTGAAAAAATTCTAGCATTAACATTATGTACTCCACAAATAACTCTAAGTTCATCTAATGTAATAAACAAGCAGCAACACTATATCCCGGAACACTAAATTGATCAAAAGCTTCAGTTTCTACAACATGACTTTCAGATAATAAAACTAAAAGTAGAAGATTCAACCCATGACCCAAGCCTCATAACATTGCTTTGTTAATATATCCAGGCCTCTATTGTAGAAAATCGTTAATAACAGAAATTAGAGGAATGATTCAGAAAAGTAATAAGTATATTTAGACAAATGTGACGTACACCTAAATCGGTTCGGAAGACATTGTTAGCTACTTTGGATGATTTCATTTTATTTTAATAGCTTCTTGTAACCGATAATGCACGATCGTCAGTCGTAGCTTGTTACGATATAAGGGACATGGTGGCCTTAGAGAGACCGTTTTAGCTTACTGAGCAGAAGATCGTGGGTTAAAACCCAAGCCCCTTTACATGACTGAGTTGATAGGGTAGCGTCATTTACTTAACAGGTTTTAAAATAACGCATGGCTTTTCAATGTGATTCCAGATCTAATTTACCCTTCCCACGAACAAAAACGTCCTTTCCGTGACAATCGTGGAGATGCAGAGGTATACTCGGTCTCTTGTAGCAATGGTTATTGAAATAACAATCCTTTCCCTCCCCGATGACCGTAAGGACGTGGCTGGCGCAGTTATTGACCTCAAAAATATGGATTCTCCGGATTTTGTACACTGAGAATGGATTGCTAGTCCCAAGCCCCATTCATATGGTGCTTTGTGCAAATTTCGCTAAATCTGGTCATTCACGGAGTAGCAACTACTGAAATGTATGGTCGTCAATGCTCATGCTCATGCTCATTAAATCAAAATGCCAATCAAAATGCAAAATTTCCGTACCGTAGACACAAACTCGTAGACACTAGTTTGTGTCTATGGTACGGAAATTTTGCATTTTGATAGGCATTTTGTTTTTATGGTTATTTTTAGATATCGATTTTTGAACATTTGAAATCAATTTCTGTGCAAAATAAAAAAAAAAGATATTTAAAAAAATGATTAAAAAAGTCGTTTAAACAAAAAAAAATCTTATTTTGTTTTTCCTTAAGTTGTTGTTTAACGCATTTTGTTAGCCTTTTTTTTGCCCTTTTTTTGCCGTTCGACGACGACGGGTGTGCTTTCGCGAGAGTGACGTTTATTTAATCCGTTTCTTTGCACGGGTGTGTTTTTTTTTGTAACTAGTGTAAGTGTGCCTGCGATTTGCATTGAGTGTTGGAGATTGTAAGTAATCTGAAGGATGCCTCGCTGGATACGCCCAAGACTGGACGGGCAGTAGCTGGTGGCCGTGAACGGTTCTTCGGGAAAGCACTAGATGCGACCCTCCTCCCAGATGGCCATGGCAATACAAGAAGTATTACAACATAGGTAATTGCTATTAGATATTTTGCAACCAGTGACAGATAGCGGACATGAAGAACCAGTGGAGGTGCCGGGCAAAGGTGTTTATCCTAGACAAATGGTAAGTTACAAATTCGCTGTTGTCGTTGTCGTAGGCGCCGTCGTAGTCGCTGTCGTAATCGCCCTCGTAGTCGTAGGCAGCACCGTTAGTATATTTAAAATTAACCACCAACCGCTGAAAATATGAATTATCGCGTATTTCTATTGTTCATTACATGCCAAGTGAAATTCGAGAACGTAATTTCATTGGAATAGCTTGTTTAACCAGGTCTTAAATCATCGTCACGTCGGTCATAGCTTGTTATGATTGCCTGAACCATGCGTAAAGAGAAAATCGAAACATTTAACGTCGCTTGAAAGTGCATCTTAATGAAGGCCTCTTTCGTAGCTTTTAGTTTAAGGATTTCAATCACGGTTGCAGTCGTCGATTGCAGTGGCTTAATTACTGAGCAGATAAACGCGGTCCTAGGTCCTTTCATATTAAAAATTTATGGTAAGATCACTTGTTTATCGTGTATTTTGTAAAGCTTTTCGTTGTCGTCGGTGCCGGGTTTGAATAGTTATAAAAACTTGAGTAACGCTATAATATGATATGAGGGGCTCGGTGGCCTTAGAACAACCTGTTTTGCTTACTGAGCAGAATATCATGAGTCTAGTCTCAAGCCCACCCACATTCAATATTCGTCAATCGTTTAATTTGTTAACATGACTACATGGTAATAACAGCAACTCGATGATTAAAAAAGAGCTCGTCTGCCTAGTGGCAAACGTTTTTGCTTACTGAGCAGAATACCGTGGGTTCAATCCCAAGCTCCTTCGCGTTATATGATTGTTAGGACATTAATTCAGCTTATCGTTTACCAAAACGAACCCTGCTGCAAACCCAACTCTATTACCCAATATCCCAGTGATTCCTCGTGGAAGTGCAGAGGTGTTCTCGGCTTCCATCAAAGCGAGTGTCACGTCAACACATTCCTACCCCTTCCTTTCTTGACCTGTGTTCGGGCGAGGCCGGTGCTGGTATTGCCTAGTTTGAGATCACCAGTTTTTACACATAGAGGATGATTGCTAGTCCCAAGTATCGTCTATTGGTTCTCTGTGTAATTACAGCTGGTCTGGCAATAACAGAGTAGCAACCGTGGGCGGTCAATCATGCTCATGCTCATGCCCAAGTTGTTGTTTAACGCATTTTGTTAGTTTTTATGTGTGCTACTTGAATTTTTCGCAGAAAGTAGGCTTTTTAATTAAAAGAAATACAATCAACTCTCCATATCTCGATGTTCTATAACTCGATATTTTTCCATATATTAAGGGTTTCGCAAGTCCCTTCAAATTAAGATGAACGAAACGTTCCATATCTCGATATTCTATATCTCGACCTCTCTTTATGTCGAATCAATATAGCAAGCTTTTACCCTCGTTTTTATCTCCATATGTATTTTGTGGCTTTGCGGTGAGGAAATTTTTAATTTGGATAGGGAGATTAATAGCATTTAACTGTCTATTTGAAGATGTGTTAACTGAAAATGTATCCAATTGCAACGTCACTATTCTATTGTAAACAGTAATGAAAAAGTCCCAAAAGAACGATCCATCCCTGCCAGGCATCAAGTGTGTCCAATTTAACCTTCGGTTAAGAGAACATACTTTCTGGGGTTTTCTCTGTTGAGTAGCCAATTTTCGATTATTGGCCACCCGAATCCCCAGAGTGCACACTATAGGTTCACCTATCTCTATAAGCGAACCTAACCCAAAAACTAAACAATTGCCTCTCAATCCTCGTCTTCATCGATAAACCCAAAGCATTAAAGCCTCTCCGGGAATATCCTGTTCCATATCATCTTTACCTGCCAGCCACAAAGGGCAGAAAACATCAACGTCAGCCCAGAAGCAGCACTCGGAGGGTAGGGGTGCGGCGGCAGCGTCGCATTATTTACCACCATACTTCATCAGGTTAAACCTGCAGTGGGCCCGAGCCAGCAGCAGCAAAAGTGCCAGCATCGGCCGACGCGCGTATACACAACAGAAAAGGAACAGCTGCAAAAACAAACAAACACTCCTCGTGCTCTTTGACCTAGTACCCAGAAGTGTCGTGTGCCGGTCGGTGCGGCGCGGTGTGTCCCGTTATCTCGGAGTGGGTGGCTGGGTGACGAAATTGTCCTGTAAACCATGTGCTAACGGCTGCCAGTGCTGCCAGCCTCCCGCCGACTCGGAGACAGGGATTGCCCAGTGCGCAGAATCACCACTTTCGGGTTCGGGTTTGTCCCATATGATCGCCCAGAATTTTGGTGTAAGATGCGACAAAGTTTCTCCCGTGCGGTAGGTCCGGCAGTTCGGCGGGAGACTTTGAACGTTACAGGATCACGAGGACGATTGCGCTCCGTGGGTGATTGTCGGTTGATTCTCCAGTGTGTGTTTGCGTTGTTTTTTTTTTCTTCTTTCGACTGAGCTTCAGGAGGAAGGAGGTGGACATTTTTATTCTATTTGTGTTTCGGAACTCGCACGTGTAAATAAAGAGGAGGATTTCGTTGTTCGGTCGTCCCCTCGGTGGGGTAGTGGTTCTGTGTGATGGTGACAGATGAAAAGCGGATCTTGACATGAATGATGATGATATGATTATGGAATTGTTGACATAGATTTTATTCCGTTGGCACTGGCCTGTGGAATACGGAACAGCTGTGGGTGGCGGATGAAAAGAAGATCCGGAGTGGGGTTTCTGAGTAGAAGTGGATTTCGTGGACTTTGGAAATGTGAGTCCAAGCGAAGCGAGCTGTGAGAATAAAAAATCGCACCCAAATGGAGCCCTCCGTCCTTGTCGAGGTGGAAATGTACCCCGTGTCACTTTGACATATGTGAAATGTTCCGTGAATTCCGTGGCACATGTGAGTCGGCAAGAAAAATCGTTATCCGAGTGCCTACTGGAAATGGGTGCTCATTAGGGGCCTGTGTCGCGTACCTTGAAACGAGCCAATGATAAATGTGGCGGAAAAAAGGTTCCCCGGCAGCGGCAGCAAGGATTGAACAAAAAATGCTGCTTAAAAGAACGGAAGTGTGTATTGCCATTTGTTAGCACCATCGAACAACGACGGTGAAGTGCCAGCAGCAGAAAAAAAGTAGTTTCAACTGGAACGACGTGAAATTTTGCGGTGCACTTTTCCGAGAGGGAGGATGATTTTGGAGGAAGCTTGTGAGAGGAATATAAATGGCACATAGTTGCGTGTTGTTAGCTTAGTGAAACTGGTAAGGATAGTCAAATATGGTAGTGAATATGTTGGCTTGGGTTGTTAAAAAACTTTCATCGCTGGTTTAAATTTTGAGGAAAATTTTACTGCAATTGAGCTATGGCCATTTCTCCTAAGGCAATCAGAGGATGATCAAGAGTGACATACAGTACCGGACAAGAGTTTCTGCAGAAAAGTTCAAAGAGCTGTAATTTTTTGGATGTTTTTCTGAATCTTCTCAAGCAAGACACAAGTTCTATAAACGTTTATACAACATTAGTCTGACTGTTAAAGCAGTTTACTCAACATAATTCAATGAATTTGTGTTACTTGGGTTGGCAGTTGGTTGGTCAAGTAAAGCTTTTAGCATTATTGGTTGAATCTATAAGAAGTTTAATCATTTTTAGTAATACGCTTCTGAGATTAGTAGCCTGTTCAAAAATAAAATATAGTAAAGTATAATAATCCAAATATGCTGAAATTTTTATTGTTGATAGTCGCGGCACAGTTTTTTCATGGTGATTCTAGTTTTTTGGCAAAAATCCGGTTCGTAAAAAAACATTTTTTAACACTTTAACTATTTTGTTTTTATTACTTCTGCGTGAAGTTAACGGTTTACATAGTTGAAGATGTTAAGCGTCAAATAATAGACTAAAGTGGTCATCTTTAAACGATAAATGAGGAGTTGAAAGTAAAAAGTTGATAGTTACGCTAGAGCACGGTAGTGTGAAAATTGTATGTAGAGAGTAGAAAGCGAGCAAGGACTTTGAGGAACGTACAAATCGGGTTGATCACTCCCCAACTAGGGAGTTTGGTAAAGAGAGATGATCAACCCGACTTGGACCTTCCTCAAAGTTGTCCTAACCCGCTTTCTACTCTCTACATACAATTTGCACAATGCCGTAATCTAACGGAACTATCATCTCTATACATTCAACTCGATATCTATCGTATAAAAATGACCACTTTAGTCTGTTATTTTACGCTTAGCATCTTCAACTATGTTTTAACAGTTTGGTTTTTGTCATCGTCTGAAAAAAAATGCCAGGCTAAATACTTTTTCCGTTCACATCTTCACATAAAATCCTCAGATACAGTGCCACGTAGTGAGATAATTCTGTAGAACTTGGTCACTTGAACTATTTGGCAGAAATGATCAGGTTTTATGAAAAATAGCTCATATACTGAACAGGAGGCTCATATGCGTACTAGTGCCAACATTCTGAATTTATTTGTTCAGCATCAAGCAGCCAGCCAGCCGCGCAGGTTATTAGAATTGTTTGCTTTCTGCTTCATTGGCGAGGTTTTTTATTGCTATTGTTAATGATTTATCATTAACCTTCCTAATGCTTTAAGAAAAATTTAAACGGTATTTCCAAGCCAAAAAAAGACCCTAATGTACCAGGAAGGTTAAGGTGTCTTCATACTTGAGCGGGTGAGGCGTGCATGGGGCAAATTTGGCGTTAGTATGAGAGAGTCATCAAGTCTCTCTCTCTCTCTTACCAACGCATTAAGCTGTATTCAGACAAGAGTGCACCGTGCGCCGAACCTGAACTGAATTTACACTGAAGTATGGGTAAAATTTGTTTGCAATCTTGACCTTAATAAGCCAAACTTCTAGTCACTGTTCAATCCTACCATGCTTGTTTCACATGAATCGGAAGCCGATAGTTACGAGACTCTTCGCTGCATTACAGAAAAAAAACAGTCAATATATAGACGATATAGAGATATCTAAGCGAGAATATGCATATCCAACAGATACAGACATACAGAGTAAGTTGCAACTGCAATTTGCTACAGTCAGATATTAAAGGTAAGGCAAAGGCCATAGAGTTCCTGTTATTTTCCAGATGATCATGGAACAGCCCTGAAGATTTTTTATTTTTCTGAAGCTTTACGAAGTGCCCTGAAGTTCACGTAACTTTCCTTGAAATATCAAAACAATCGAGAATTTCTCAGGATTCCTAAAAAACTATCTGCACTTCATTAAAGATCAGTGGACTTTTATGAAGTCCACAGAACTTATTAAAAAAATCTCCAATGGAACTGCCTTGAACTTCTAACGAAGTTTCCGAAACCATCCTGATGCTCACAGAACTTCCCTTAAAATCTTTGAACTACCCTGATCTTCTTTGGACTCCCCTAAAGTGATTGCAATTTTCTGGAATTCTAAGAACTTCTTGTAGATTTAAAAGCTATCCGGAACATCTCTTATGTTCTTGTATGTTTCCTGAAGCTCTTGATATTGATCTGAAGTTAATTGCACTGTCATAAAAATACCTAAACATCCTTACATCCTTACATTCTCATACACAAATTCTGAAGTTTTTTTTTATCATCTCTGAGGTTCTAAAGACTTATTGAAAAACTATGAACTTTAAAAAAATAAATTTTTTACTTAATTTACTGGAACTGCATTGAGCCTCCCTTACGTTCCCCTGATGTTTGATGCCCGCATTTTCCAGATGATACATGATTCTTTCCTGATGTTCTCGGATCCGCCCTGAAGTGCTCATGGCTTCAAGACAGTTACCAAAAATTTCCTGAAGTTTTCTGGACTTTTCTGAAGCTCTCCAAGTTTTCTGGAAATTACTCAACTTTCCTGTAGTTCTTTGGATGTCCTTGAAATTTTAGAAGCTTCTTTAAGGTTGCGGAATTTTTGTCTGAAATTTAATCAAAGTAATGAATATAGATCTAAGATATTCAATGAAGTTTCCAAAACTTCCTTGAAGTTCATGGTGATTTTTTGATATTATTGGAACTACCCGAAGGATCTCTGAACATTCCTAAAGTTGCTAGAGATTCCTAAATGTCTAAGTTTATTTTCAATCTTCAATTTTCCCTCAACTTCTCTTGTTTCCAATCTTTTCTGAAGTTGCCTTAATTTTCTAATGTTCCGGAAATTTTCACCATCGGATTAATGTCCCTAATGTTGGTCTAACTTACTTACTTAAGGGTCCTGTGCACCACCAGCGGTGCAAAAGGCCAACGTGAAAGACTTCCATCCTGGGCGGCTGCTCGCTTTTGCCTTGACCTGGGCCCAGGTCAGATTCCTATCGACTTGCTTAATTTCCTTATTGAGGCTCCGCCGCCATGAGCCCCTGGGTCTGCCTCTGCTGCGATGTCCTGCCGGATTCCAATCCAGCGCTTGCTTGCAGATTTCGTTTCCGCCCCGTCGGAGTGTGTGGCCTACCCACCTCCACTTTCGCTCTCGAATTTCTTTTGCTATCGGCTTCTGATGACATCGACGATGGACCTCAGCATTCGAGATCCAGTTGTGAGGCCACTAGGCACGAATTATATACCACAGGCATCGGTTGATGAAGACCTGTAGCTTTTGAGTGTTGGTCTAAGTGTTCCTAATATTGAGCCCATAAATATAAATTTTGAAGGAAAGCAGCTTGCCAACAAAACTATTTAGTCGTTTCCTTTTATCAACCCGAGTGAGCTGTGTTGCAGGAGCTTTTTGTCATGAAAAAAAAAAAAGAATATTATTTCATTATTGCTTTCGATTTCTGACAAAGCGTTATTGTTCGGCTCGTTGATCGCGTGTCATTTTGTCATTTGGAGATATTTTTGATTCCTTGCTAGTAACCGAAACTATCCATTTGTTTTGTACAGATGACGCATTGTTCTAAGAAAAATCAATGGCCAGAATCTTGAAATTCATAGGCCAACAGTAGAGCGAGATCCCACAATATATCTCAAGTATCGGAACATGCATGACATTTTCGGGATATCTTATAATTCCTTGCAACTGTTAGTTTCTTCAATTATTAGAACTAATTATATATAATAAAACTAAATAAAAATCTATATACTTCTATATACATATACTGAACTTCCCTGAAGATTCCTTCAAAAAAGTTCTCGAAATTGCCTGGGAATTTTTTGAACTACATTTCCTTTATTTATTTATTTACCGTCGGTCTCTGTTCCACAATCACCGACGGAATCTGATACTTTTATAACCTCCCTTTCGTTTCTGAAATTCAAATGAAGCTCTTGTAACGCTATTGAAGTCTCAGAAATTCCATGATCAATGTCCTTGAAATAATTTGAATTGTCCTTAGGTGCATTGATCTGTCCTTATGTTATCTTAATACTATTAAAGTGTTCGGTACCACCCCGACATAAATGAAACTATCCTAAAAACTCTTTTAATTCCCAGAAATACTCTGGACTTTGTTCTGAGTTTTCCGGGTATTAAGTGAGGTGGCTTATGCGCCACTCTTTTTGGAGACCACTTAACTGTTGACGGTTTGCCCGGCCGTTGAGACCCTCAGGGAAGGGTCGAATTATTCCCGAAAAGTGGAAGGGATACAAGTTGACTAACGCGAAGTCTCTGAAAAAAATCAAGGAAAAAAAAATAACCAACGAACCCTAGTAACAATTTTGGGTTTTATGAGGGTTCTGAAGACCACGATTTGGACTTGTAGAATGCTATTAAACCACGATAAAACCTGCAATTTTACTTGGGTACCTGATTGGAATTCACTTTCTGATAGAATCTACCAGTGATTTAAATAAATATTAATATTATTTGAAAAATTCCATTCCACGCATAGAACTACATGAACCGCACTGTTTATTTTACTGCAGTGCCCCTAGCGGTCGGATCTGGAATGTTCTGACAGCAGTTTGTTTTGAAATGTTTCTTCTTTCAGTGCTGAAAAGTTCGTTATGATTCATTTTGTTCAAAAGAAGTTATACTTGATGGAAGCCGCGAACCGAAAATTAATTTTGGACACCCACTTGGAAAATCCGACGTCGTTGAAATTGGCTAAATCGACCGTGTTCAGCGTTCTCAAACGTTTCCGTGAGCAGCATACTATCGATCGGCAGGATCATAGCAAGCGTCGTAGTGAATATAATTATCAGAAGCTGCATTTGAAGGCTAACCCAACGCTGTCGGATTATTATATCACCAAGAAATTCAATGCAAGCCAAAGCATTGTCAGAAGGATTCGTCAGCGAGAAGGATTTCGATCTTTTCGGGCACGAACCCGGGCACTG